GTTACCCTCCCCTGGTGAGTAGTTAACCTTCCACTTTGAGGTGTGATTTTCCCGAGCACAGGCTGGCGGAGATAGGTGTTATTAGGCAATCCAACATTCTGTGCACGACATTGAACCAACGCATCGACTGTCAAATAGTCGGGGCCGTGAACCAACACTAGATCTTTGCGTCAAATCATCCCCTCGGCGTCCTTGACTGGCCAAAAGGTCGCAGAGGTCGTCGCCATGGGGCCCCGTAACGGAAGAAGATTGGACCCTGAAGCTTCCACCTGGATTATGATGCACCAGACCTTGACCGTTGACCGTTTTGGACTCATGGTTTTGCCCCACCTGGAAGTCGGAATCCACCACTACACACCACTACGTTCGGGGTAAAAAACATGCCTTGGTCACGCTGTGCTGGATCGCGGTGTGTCTTCTGGTTACGGAGTTCCCGTTGCAGAGGCCCCCGGTAAACCGGCAAAACAGTAAAATGGCAAAATGTCGAGCGCACACAAGCGTGGGGTAAAATGGTAAAACGGTAAAATGCGAAAATCTGCAGGTGACAGAAGCGAGGAGTAAAACAGAGAAACGGGAAAACCAGTAAAACTGAAAAAGACGGTAATTTTACGAAAGTTAGCGATTTTCCGAAGGTCAGCCAAACTCATGGAGTGAGAAAAGTCTCACATGACATAGGGAAAAAAGCCATGCGAGCCAATCTTGAGTCGTCCACCCTAGAGCGAAAGCTGTTCAAAGCAAGAGTCTGCCCGTCTTTGGTTAAGTTAAGATATGTTACGGTAAGATCTAAAACCTGCATCTTCTCTTCGAGAAGGTGAGAAGGTGCGCAAACTTCATCAAGCTTTAGGCTTGGCTTGACAACGCGCAGGCCCTGAATCAAGTCGATTTTGGTGCTTTGTTAGCATTTTTGCGAATCTACGCGCCGATGTGAAACGAACAGCATGTGAGCCAGCCTTTGCTGTTTTTGATGCACCCTGGGACACGACAGCACGCAGTAAAAGGGTAAAAACGCTAAATTTACCAAATTTACCGATTTACAATGATTTACAGTTTACCACCTTTGCCCTGACGTGTGTAACCTCTTAGGCTGAACGCCCGCCGGGAGCCGGCTTCGCGTTCACGTCGCCCCCCCCTTGTGGGAATTCCCAGCCAACGCGTCTTCAATCTCACTTTTGGGCTCCAACATGCTCCAACGAACCGACATCTCTCGGCGTGTATCGCAGGAACATCCAAGCGGAGAACGCAAACAGTTGCTGCGTGCTTTCATCATCAGCACATATCAGCACTCACCTGTTCACCAGCATGTCTTGTCGGACTCTCAAACCTTCTCCACACTACCCGCCCGACCAAAATCATGTTGTCCATTCAGGCCGCGGCCCCCGGCCTCGTCTTGCCAGGCTACTGTGCGGAAATCATAGTCTCCCTGAACTGCCTCGAGGACTGTAGCGACTCACTGTGGAAAGCGAAACCCCCACGGATTGGGCATTCAGGGGAAGGCAGGCCGAAGCTTGGTATGTTTGTGGATGGGTGCTGGATGGGGGGGTAACCTGATTGCAAGGCAGACTTGTCACAACCCACCTCTTCAAGCTCGAAAATTGGAGATTAAGGGCGCAGTTCAGCAAGCCAATGTCTTCCAGTGAAACATCACCAGGCTAAGCTGCCTAGAATTCGATGTTCAATCCTTCCCGCATGAACATCTCAACAACGACTCCAGGGGATAAGCGTGAAAGTGCCTGTGCATGAAACCCTGCTCTGGCTCAGGTTCCCAAGGAGGGGAACAGCACGAACAGCCCAGACCCGCCTGTTTGCCATGGCCAAACTTCAAATGCCAATGGGGCGCACCTGCGCCAGGCTTGGGCACCAAAATTTGAGTCACCTGAGGAAGGGGAGGTATGTATGAGGAAAGAGAAAAGGCATAAAGGGTAAAGTATGGTAAAGCGGTGAAAGCGGAACATGGACCCAAATTAGGGACCGTTTTCATGTTTGGGAAGGATATCGTTGCCTTTTGACCAGAAACTTTGACGAGGTATGCAGCATCCGCCCAATGGTTGAGTGGCCCTACCAAACATGAAAACGGTCCCTAATTTGGGTCCATTGAAAAATTTGCAGCCCTTAACAATTTTACCATACTCAACCCTTCATACATTATGCCTTTCCTCATACACGTACCTCGTCAAAGCTTATAACCAAAGGGCAACGACATCCGTACCAAACATGAAAACGGTCCCAAATTGGATCCCTTTTGCAACCCTTTCACCGCTTTACCATCGTTTAACCTTCATGCATTCTGACTTTCCTAATGCATACTGCATACCTCTTCAATCTTGGCTTGGCAAAAAACCACATCATCCCTAGCAAACATCAAAAGGGTCTCTATTTGCAGTCCACTTTGCAACCCCTTAGCAACTTTACCATGTTTTACGGGAGATTCCTACATCCTTGAGCCACAGGGAGCGTTTAGTGAACTCGACCTGTACATGTCTGCACGCTGATATGCTTCCTGCGCTACACCCCCTGTCTCTTTTGTTCGAGCCAGAGACACTATTGGGGAGCACAGATCTATACTTACGACAGTGAGCCGCTCATCACGCCCATCGGGGATGTGGGACATACCCCTGGACTGATGGAGTGTTCCAACTCCCAACTCACAACACGCTCGATCTCAACTTCTCACGAAGGACGGTCAAGTCTTACACTTCAAAAAAAAGAGGGTGATCTACAGAATCACTGACGGCGCCATGATTTATTTGTCGTTGCGGGAAATCAATCCTCGCTGATAGTCCCACCTTTCGGGCCATCCATAATCTCCATCTCCTCCTCAAGGGCCATCCATAATCTCCATTTCCTCCTCAAGGTCGTTCGGGCGGTTGATATTCTTGATTTTCTTCATGATACCGATTGTAGCAACCTTTCCCTTTGCCATGGTTCAGCTTGAGGTGGTGCTGCTGATGAAGATGACGCTGCAGATCCTCGACCTTCCCCATGTTGACTGGGTGGGGGATGGTACAGGTGGTTGATGAGCTTGTGGTTTCTTGGTCTTGATTCAGGCGTCTTTCTCACATGAAACTTTCCCAAACTCTTCTTTGGCGAGAAGCTGTTGAGATTGCTCGTGTGACACTTGCGATAGCCCTTTCAAGCAGCTCTGATAGCTTTTCTCACTATTATAAAACTTTACGAATTGCATTGGCTTCGGCATGACATGCTTGTTGTACTCCTTCTGGGCGATCTCTGTAGCCTTAGTGGAGTCGCTTGAAGTGGGCGTCGAATGCAACTCGATGCCTCGCACACACCTGCATCGCCAGGGCATTGAACAGTTCCTCTCCTCTGACTTTCAACCATGTCTCCTCAACAGTATCGCCCCTTCTTTGTGCCCTCCTGAAGCCCTCCTTGGTGAAGTCCTTGTAGTCACCATCATCCTTGACTCCAGCAAATGCGCGGACGAACTTTGAGTGCAAGCTACCAGTTGCGCATGTTCTCCAAAGATTGGTCTGGGTCCTTCTCATGTACTTTGCCGCGCTCGGATCGTCCCAGTCAGACTCCTCTCTCTCCACCTCTCCATCCTTGGCGTTGAGCACTACTGTAGCATCGTAGTCATCATCCTCGTCCTCCTGGTCCTCATCTTCGCGTCAATCACATTGATCGTGGTACTGGCTGCGACAGCTTCTTGACTGGGCCGAGGATGGTGTTTACCTGGTTTCCCACAGTGATATTCTTCTTCTGGGCTCATTTCCTCATCGATGTCGTCTTCCTCCATCTTCACACCCTTCACTTCGACATCAGTTTTCGCCAGGGATCTTTCTCTGATCCTCTCACTGCCCTCACTGCACCTTCATCAACGACCTCATGCATGGGCACGTCCTCTCCTTCTAACTCTTTGGTGAGCTGATTTCGTCAACCAACTGTTTGGTGGCAACTGATGGAGGTGGCACTTCAATCACTTCTGGATCATACTCGTCCTGAGATGTTGAAGCGATTGCCGTTCGTGTCCCATGGGTGATGAACCTTCCTCCACAATGAGCGCCTACAGTAAAAATACTGCATGGTGTTGGTCATTTCAAATGGAAGGCCAAAATACCCTTGGACCTCGAATGTCCGAAGACATGGCTTGGCGGTCAGCCCAATTGTGTTACCATTTGTACTTTCCTCCAGAATTCGAGGTGGAAGCAAGATGAGAAGTTGTCATTTTCATTTTGTAAACTTGCTGCGGGGTACAGACTGATCGATGATGAGAATCTCCACACCTTTCGAGATGTGTGCAATTCAATACGCAAAGTGATGCTAACTCTGTCGAAACTTCCAACTGTTGACGCCTTTCCTGGAACTTTAAATTCCACACGTCCCCGAAGTTGCCGGCGTACTTTACCCCAGGGCTGTATAGATTCTGCCATTCCGTTTGTGGCACCTGAAGGGCACCAACTGGTGGCAAATTTGCTTGCGCGTGGGGCAGGTCGCTTTCATGGGGTCATCTTTGACTATGTCATGACCTGTGCGTCATGCATATGCCAGACGCGTCTCACACGTGTGATCTGGCGCGAGAGGTAGTATGCAGTTGTAACCATTCCAGTAGCAGCTCTTCCGAAATCTATACAAACAACACATCTGACATCAGCATCAACAAGAACAAAATTTGCGAAGCGCGCAACTTCTTTTTCACTTGGGCCTAAAGTCGACCGTACGTGAGTGTGTAGTGATGCACGGCTGGGTGTCAACTGCTTACGTTTCATCACATCTTGTCAAAATTAATATATACCTGTTCGCCTACGAAGCTGTCCTTTTCCTCGTTTGGTCATTATAAAGCCAATCAGGTTATGAAACACAGCAAGAGAAACTTCCAATCACCACTCCAGATTCACACAAATGTGTCCCTGAAGAGTTTCTCAGAATATTCCAAACCACAACAGCTTTCATAACTTTCCGTCCCTTTTTCTGGTTGGTTTTGCCTTCCAAGTCCATCCACTAAATCTAGCGACTCCTTTTCAAACAGATCACGCGGCCCAAGCATCCATGGTGTACTGCGTGGTGAACTCGTCCTGCCACGTGGCGATGTAGCCGGTGTCCTCGTCCGGCCAGGTGGTGCCGTCCACCGAGACGTAGACGTAGTAGCCCGTGTGGTAAGCACCTCTCTCGAGCTGCCAGGTGCACCAGAGTCCATCCACCCGTGGACCCTGTGGGTTGACCGCTAAAGGATGGGCAAAGAACATCGTGGGTGACCGCACTGGATGAGCTAAAGATGCTACCTGCTATATAACACCTGCTACTAACCTTCTTTAGTGCAAGATGCTTGGCTCTGCGGTTCCAACGAAGCGGAGGGCTTGGCACACGCCCCGGTTTCCGTTCACGTCCGTGCACCAAGAATTGTCACAAAAAGGTGAAAGGGCTATAGGTCTATCAGTGGTGATCCACTTTTCCCCCCGCGAAGCACATTCCCCCCCTCGACATCCAGTGGAGTCCAGTGGTCTGCTAGCAGATTCCCTTCCCACCCTCGATCCTTCGATTTTCGAGTGTGTCACACACGCCCGTAGAGAGCGTTGTGACGCGTTGTGAGAGGGTTTGGGATATTCAATTATAGCGTCTTTCTTTTAAGCAGGCCTTTCAGACTCAGACATGGGCGTAGTTGTGGTTGACCGGACCGAACCACTCCACAAACATCATCCCCGAACTCACTCACACTATGCACATCCACTCTCATCCACTGCACCCCCCAGCAAACCTCCAAAAAAAAACCACCGGCCGGACCGAAGTGGGTAGGTCGAACTCTTTCCAGGCTACAACAAACCGGAAGCAAGCCATTCCAAAACACAAAAAACGAACCAAAAAAAACCTCAACAAATACATGAATTCAGAAGGGTTAGTGACCGGATCTAGTGGGCCAAGGTTCAGCTCAAGGCACCTCGTTCTTTGCCTCGGTCCAAGGACCACTCCACCACGATCTGCGTGTCGCTGGACGATTGGATGCTGGGCCGTGGCGGCAGCGGCGGCAGCGCCAGCTTCGCCAAGCTCAGCCAGGGCGACAGGGGGGCCTCGAAGCGGAGCGAAGCAGCACGACGTCGGCAGGAAAGATCACGAAGAGCGTTGTTCGTGCGTGGTGGGTGGACCGTGGAACAACTGGTGCTTAGAAGGGTGTGTTTGTATGAGGGTAGTTGAATGCCTTGCATGTCACTGATGACATGTTGAGGAAGTCCGAGTCTTTCACAGGTCCCACTCTTCACGGGAGTCACTGACCATATAAGTATTGTCTTTGCATTCCAAATGTGCACTTCACTTGCCATGTTCCAATGAGAAAAGGAAGCTGAACACGCTCACTTTGAATTTGAATGCAACCCGTGAAACCCATATATTCATGGACCTTCTGTCTTCAGGAAGTTTCCCAGGGGAAACACCCAAGGAAGTGGATGAGAGTGCACACTTTGAATGCCCCGATAGTCGGATAGTATCCACAAAAGAAAGGGAAAAGGAAAGGAAGGCACAAAGCAAGAAGCGAAACGGGAAAAGGAGAAAACGGGCACACATACACAAATGCAGGGACATGACCAGGAACTCATCAGGAAAAAGAAACAATGGACACCTGTGCTGTGGCATACCTGCCAGGATCTCGAAGTCTGAAGTGTCAACATGATAATTCAAAAACAATCCCCGTCTGCAACCTTCTTAGTCTTACATGTTGCTGCCTTGCGCATGCAAGGATCATTTTTGATCCGACGCTCTCGCCTCTATCCCAGCCCGTTACCGTGGCAGCCGTCTCGCACCTTCGCCGAGCTCCGAGATGGCCGAGATGGCCAGTTCCAGGGGCTGCGAGAGGTTGGAGCTGATGTTCAGCAGTGATCCTGCGGCTCCGCCGGCGCACGCGGCTCCGCCGGAGGCCAGCGTGCTCAAGAGAAGTCCCAGGTGGTGTGTGGGCAAGGCTTTGGGGGGGCATGCAGGGACTCAGAGTTTGGCCCACACTTGGGACGTCAAACAGCATCCCAAAGACCGGTCCGGAGACAACATGAGACAACACCGATCCGGAGATGGATGTGCTTCCTGCGATCCCGACCCGGTTCCTTTTTGGTTTGGAATCGTGTGGGATCCCCCAAGCAGATCGGTCGATCGGTCAGAAAAGGGCTTCCTACGTCAAACCATCGAGCCACCGGACCCAGACCGTCCAAAGACTGATAATTCCGAAGATGCTCCCTGGTATCATCATGGACGTGGAACATGGCCCCTTGGAATATAGGTCAGAGTTGCAAGCGTGGTTGGTTTCATGTGTTGAACGTTGCTTCTGTCGACCCATATATACTAGAGCTTCCTGCGCTGGCCAAGCAGTCATTTATCCCGCACAGCTGGGATTCATCAAGTTTCGTCCCAAAAGAATTCGCACCCCAAACTCACATGTCCTTCACATACCTATTCCACCCTTTTCCATCTGTTCCCCAGTCCCAACACCCCCCTCACCTCCCAACTCCCTATCCCTATCCCCCTCCACTTCCCTTCCGGTTCTTTCTCCCGTCCCGTCCTGGCTTCTCCAGCCAGATCTCCCTCTCCGCCAGCCCATCCGCCGCGCCGCGCGACGAGAAGACCGTCACCGAGGAGAAGACCGTGACCTTCGCCGCCAGCAGCGGCGCGCCGTGCAGGTCGGGGATCGTCCAGGCGAGCAGCACCCAGGAGGCGCCCACCTGGGTCGTGGTGGGTCTACGCCGAAGCACGGACCAAGTCGCCCGAAAGAGACCCCCATATGATATAAGCAGAAGTGTCTGCCCCAGAAGTGGTTCTAGGTACGGTGAGTCGTGGTGTGAGATGGGACAAGAACGCTAATCATGTTGTGAGGACACCACATCCGTAATTGACTATATAGTACTGTTGTATATATGTATATAATATACTAACATGTGAGGCACTTGACTTGTGGTAGTTATATCAGGTCACAACGTAAAAGAAACACACACACAGTTCACATTGTTTCATGCACCATAACAGCAAGCTTCGAATGTCTCAGCAACATTTCCTGCTGCGTTTATCTCCTTGCAAGTGGCTTGGAACTGCACTCTCGCACCAACTCCGATGAGCCACTGCTAGACTTACGGACCTACATGCTTAGCGACCGGCCTCCCTACATCCACATCCTATAGATACATCCTAAGATATCCCTAGAAGTCGAACCACCATTAGTTTAATAGCCTTTGCCGAACAACCATTGTTTCACTGAGGGTTTTACACTACAAAACCAGATCAACCACTTCTAAGGATATGATATACCTATTAATACAGAACTACACTATATAGATACAACATGATACACCCTATAGTCCAGTACCTCCATCCCCAACCCTTCTACACACTCTCCCCCTCTCTCGTTCCACCCCAACCTCCTGCACCGTTGGCGCCACCGGCGCGCCCGGCGCCGCGCCGCAGATCCGCAGCGCAGGCGGGTCGTTGGCGGCGCCGACGCCGGCGGCGCTCACGGCGGCCACGCGGAACCACAGGCGCTGCCGCGAGCGGCTGAGGCCGCCGAAGACCTGGTGGGGGTGAAGAGGTGGGAACGAGGGTCCAGCTGGTAGACGGACGCAACAGGGTAAGTGGCAGTCTAAGACGAGCTGGTGAGTCTAAGACTTGAATTGTAAGTGGTGTGTGTGTGTGTCAAAGCCTGTAAGATTTGATAGGATATTTTAGGCGTGCAAGTTTGTAGTGACAGTGGTGGGTGTGGGCCTTGTGCATGTTTATCATTTGAAGACCTTAAAGGAAACCAACGGCCACACTTGAACCAAAAGAACATCATCTAATCACTTCCAACCACAGGAGCCACACTGGTGAAGCTAGCATTGAAAGAAGGTGACCAGCCGAAAAAGAACCACATTCCTCCAACATCTCTCCAGCAACCTACCCACCCCAGCAGTGTCCATCCCACCTCCGGCTGGGTGCAGTTCACCACGTACTCCGAGGCCGTGGTGCTGAAGCTCGGTGCGTGGGGATCCCAGGTGGAGAAGTGCCCGTCGATCCAGTCGACGTAGATGTTGAAGCCCAAGAGCCGGTCCTCGCGGCGGCGCTCTCCGCGCGGGGCGGAAGCGGGACCACTCACCTTTAGGCCAGGCCAGACTGGTACCCTAGAAGTCCAAAGACTATACTTGAACCGACTGAAGTAAAGGAAAGTCCTGAACTCGGGTCACCTAAAGACCATTATTTTTATAGTCTTTGACTCCCAGGGTGGTAGTTAGCCATGGGTTCCGGTCGATTCGTGGCTTGGTACGACGAACCGAGGCCTGCCTGGTTGACGGCCACCCTTAGCCAATCAGGCTGGCCAAATCTTAGTACGGAGTGCTTCAAAGCCCAAGCGACCAATTCTCGCCATTTGTTGGATTTGCTTCAGGAACTTGGCAAAGACCAAACATTGTCACCAGAAGCGCCTTGAGCATGATTTAGCCATTAAGGAACATATGAGATCACCTTGACGAGCAAAACCAGGATATCTGTTCTGTCGTCTGAGAATCCAAGGGGTCCCCATGGGTCTCCATGAACACGTTCTTGAATCTGTGTGGTCATTCTCAGCCGAGGTAGTGCACATGAAACTGAGATCCCAAAGCACCCACAATACTGATGGGTTCAGATATACAACATGAACTGAGAAGGAGGTGTGCAGGGAGGATGTGTTCATGGTTGGAGCTAGGAGCTTCACAGCTTGAGGTCCTCATCGACACTGGGCTGCCACGTCCATGACAAGCTGATGGTCTCATCATCGCTGGCATCGACCTGCAAAGAGAAACCGCATGCCAAAACCCTAGTCGTCTCGTCGGCCGGTGAACATGTTAGAACCCAGTCTTACCATGTCTTACCAAATTAAAAGGAATGTGACGTAAATTAAATGTAACAGGAAAAGCATAAAGCATCACAAAGCACCAAAGACCAACCACCAGTCTCAAGCCAGTTCAATCTGTCGGCTTTCAACATCCAACCTTGCCTCCTTCTCTACCTCCCGTCCTCCTCCCTTCCGGTGTCTCTCCGCTTCTCCCGCCTGCACCGTCGGCGCCAGGGGCGCCAGCCCCACGTGCAGCGCCGCCGCGGGCGACCAGGGCCCGGCGCCCACGAGCGAGCGGACGCCGTAGGCGAGCTCCAGGTCCGTCGAGGGCGGCAGCGCCTCGAAGACGTAGCTCCGCACCTCGTCCAGGGCCGCGGGTCGGTGGAGGGGTTCAGTGCTTGAAAAATGAACCGGCACCCTATAAATATCTATAAACCACCAACAGTCAGCCAAATGAAAGCCATCAGGTCGACCTGACCCAAAGCATGCCCAACGCATTCGAACTCACATGGCAGCGGGTCAAAACAAGGGGACCCTGGTTGACTACCAAAAATGAACAGAATAGACTACCAGCCATGTTCGACGATCAGAGTGTCGTGGACAAGACGTCTCACTCTTTGAGACTTGTCAGCGTGTGAACAGAATAGACTACCAGGTAGGTCAATCTACATCAATCTAGCACGGATTAGGGGTGCAGTTTTTGACCCACACTCATGTTCTCTTTCGCCCGGTCGCGTTGGGATCGCTGATGATCACTTCCTCCACTTCGTTGGTTGCTTTCCACACCAGCTGCACCTGCCAACCACTGTGGAGTGCCACGACATCCGGCGCCTGGCGAAGGAAGACTCCAACAGAGGTCAAGTGACCTGAACTAGGACCCGTCACCTATGGGATAGTCTACAGGGTGAATTCAACCTCTGTTGGTCTGTCTGCAACCCATCAATGTGAGCCTTTTCATTCACTCAGTGGTGGGATTGCAACCACTTTGTCACTCCACAACCAATCTATCCACGGCTTCAATTCGTCACCGGTCTGTAGCTTCTCAGGCAATGGGGTTGGGGTTCATTCACAACCACTCCGCAGCTTTCCCCTCGTTCACCAGGTTCTCCCATTTTCCATCATTCTTTTCCGATCATTTCCCAAAATCATCATGCAATTTTCCATCACACTCCTGATTCCACAGGTGGATCGGTCCAGTCTCATTTCCTCCGCTCAAGACCCGGTGCCTGCCCCGCCAAGGACAGCTCCACCGTCACGTCAAAGCTGCCCTGCACGCTCAGCCGCGACTCTCCCGCGCTCGGCCGCGCGGTGTGGCTCAGCACCGGCGCGGTGGGCGGCGCGATGGGCGCGGCGGAGCAGAAGAGACGCGCTGGGGCCTTCAGCGGGGTGAGACGGTCCCCTGGTTGGGGACAACGCGGTTTGTTGTTTTTTTTTCGAATTGTTCAGCTTGACATCTGTGCGTTGCTGAAGCATCAAAGGTCTGGAAGAAAACGACCAAGAACACTCTTAAACACCAGGAGTTTGTTTGGCCGTGCATGCCACAAACTTCGTGGAATCCCATGTTGCCACTTGCACGAAAGGCAGGTGGGCAAGGCTCACTCTTGCGGGGTCGAGGTCGGAACATCCCCTGACCTGGTCCGCTAAACGCTGTACCAATTGCATCACATTTTATAATGCACATCTGATTTGCAAGTTGGGCGGATATACCTTCAATTTAGTCATCACCTTGCATTTGATTTCACCTGATCGAAACTGATGGTTTTCACCTGGAATCGTCTTCCAAACCCTTGGCCCCTCGCCCCTCGCCCCCCCAAGAGTTCCTTCGCTCGCGGCACGCTCCCGATCCGCGCGGCCGACTCGGCGGCCATCGCTTCGGTGCTCCACTGCGTGGCGACGCGGGCGATGACCTTCACGTAAATGGCGCTGGGCCACAGCGCGTTGCTCATGTTCGTCTCCTCAGGATTCGAGCGACGGAGCGGCGGAGGAGTCAGTTTGGTGGAGCGCGCTGCCATGGAAGGTGGGTGGAGCGCCGATGGTGTTCGTTTTCGTTCTTCCGTTTTCGGAGCTCGGCGGAGTTGGACATAGGAGGTTGGACATCGGACGAGCTGCAAAGTGGTAGTTTTACGGTGTTTCGGGAGGGTTCGCGATGGTTTGTCTCAATGTCATGAGCGACTTTATATATATATATATAACCCGGCTGCATAGTTTCACCCGAAGTAAGACATACCCCTGCAGACAGTCCTCTCGAAATCTCTTTTGGTCGCTTCTGCAAGTCATTGCGTATAAATAAAAGTCAGCCTGGAGCCTGGAGGTTTCGAAGCACATAAGGTTTCGAAGCACACCTTCCGGATCACTACCACCTTCACCCAAACAACTGAACCAAAGAGGTGGATCGAATTCCCACCGTCAGACGGCACATTGGGAATCCAAACAGATGGACTCTACTCCGGGATGATGTGCCCCAGTGGCTGATGTTCTTAAAAGCCCTCGCCACGTACGGGTGAACCGAAAAGCCATCGCCATCAAACGCCTCACCAAATGGTTAAGTGGTCCAGCTGTAACCAACAAAAATCCACAACAACAATCCTGTACGCCTAGATATATCAATCCAACCACACCCTACACACCCCATCACACTCCGCACGCTGCCTAACACGGAGACGTAGCTCACCCGGCTCCCGTCACCGTCGGCGCCGAGGCTCGTTGCACGCGAAGCTCAGCTGTGGAGCTGCGCTCGCAGGCACCACGCCCACGTCCACGTAGGGCCCCTCCTCCTCGGACGCTGCCAGCACCTGCGGAGGGGCGAGGCGAGAGGCGGTCTTCGTGGTGCTTGTGGTCGTGTGCCGACCATGAACATGCCGCCTGCTGGTGGCGGTTTGGCCATGAAAAAATGTGCAACAACAACCATGTACAGCTGAAAGACACATATGGACATGGGTATCTTAGAAGATCCCAACTCCACACTCTCCATATGAATCCATTCCCCATGCTCACACAGACATCACCTCACGATGTCTTCGGCCCACATCGGTCCAGGAAGGTCCCGGCGCCTGGAAGGTGTCGAGGAAGGGCTCCCGGTCCCAGGCCTCTGCAACCCAAGACACCTGGGCCGAGGGGAAAGCGACCAACGAGCCTGGAGTCGTGAGTCGGACGAGCCAGTGAGCAAATGAGGAAGCCCAATTAGTTATTATTATTATTATTATGCTTATCATATGCATGTGCCCTTCTGGGAAAAAACAAGAGGTGGCCGGGTTTCACCAGTTGACAGACATTGTCCTACGACTGGTCTTGTGGCCAATGGACATGGGCAGTGTATCGGCTGATCAACGACGAGGAATTTCGGCACCCTCACAGGTCGTGCCCACTGGTCGGTCCTCACAGGGATCCTTCGTCCTGATAAAGGGACCCTTTCCACTCTGGATCTTGGCTCTTTGAGATGACCGTCAAAGGAAAAGGACAATGCTTGTGACTGCTTGTGGGTCCCAAGACTTTCCAAAATCTGCGCTTCTTACTTCATCCTCACACCGAACTCTTCCACCAAAGCACCCTCTCCTTTCGCCCTCTGTCATCCCTTGGTTTTCACCGTCATCCACCACCGAGGCACCGTCAGCAGCCCCTCCACGTAGCCGGCCGCCGTGACCGCTGTGGGGCCGAAGAGCGAGTCCGGCCGCGCGGGCACCAGGGCCAGCGGAGCGGACCAGGCGCCGCAGGCGCCCACGTCGCAGGCGCGGACGGAGAAGTGATACCTCGGAGGTGGGGGCCGAGATCCTTCGTTCGAACACAGAGCAGTGTACGAGTCCATCATGGAGGCGGGAAAGGGATGGCAGTTCGGGTGAGTTCAGTGCAAAACCGAAGAAGTGCCACCCAATCTGGGCAGCAAAGATGGTCAACGGATCCTCTTCTGTAGAGATAGAAGCTGTTTCAGCGTGGGTGGATGAAAAGCTGCAGCTGGGACATAGGCCCAAGATGACGGGATTCTGAGGTGGATGAAGTCAGGATGACGTGAGCATGATAGTCATTGATGAGTCATGACAAGAAACCTACTCTCCCTTGAACATGGAAGTGGAAAACCACCTGTTTGTAGTGGAAAATGGTCTTCCAAGGGGGGGCATTTTCCACTTCCATGTTAGTTCCAGGGAGTGTGACCCAAATCGATCTCTCCCGGGATGTCGGTTGACTAGGGATTTTGTTCTGCTGGAACGGTCTGGAACCTTTATATCCGGTCATTGTTGGAGGCCAAGGGGCAAATCCAAGCTGTGGAGCTCTTCCAACTCCACCGTCGCCACTCCGCTGGTGATCAAGGAGAAGTTGCCATAGACCACATTCAAGAGCTGCAGCTCGTACCAATAAACACAGCCATAAGGCTGGATCTCCTACCAAGTCCACGAAAAGACGAAGGAGGTGAGAAGGAACATCAACGAAAAAGGTCGAAGGGGAAGGAGATCCTCACTGGTGAGGTGCCTAAGGAATGCCTCATAAGGGCTGCGTTCCTGTCACAACCAGCTACTTTTGACAGTGAACCCTACAACCGGTCTGCAAAAGCCTGTACCTCCCCCATCGAGATTGAGAAACCTCCCATCAATCTCTAGTTCCCTAATTTCCGGCAAATCCCACAAAGTCCGCCCCGACATGACGAGTTTCACGATGTCCAAGTCTCAGGACATGGGGGTTGTCATTGGTTGTTTGTACCCAATGTCGGCAAGCCATCAGGACCCTCCTCTCACAAACCTGTGAACACATGTGAGCACGACCATTAGGCTTTGTAGGACGAAATAGGGAGACCTCCAAGGCAAGGAATCTTCTGGGTGCGGTTCGGGAGATCCAGCCAGGGCCTCGGTCCCCTATTCTAACAATGTTCAATACACTGCTGTAATACAAGTCTGTTGTACACTATCCCATACACTACCCCATATAGTCTATAGTCTGTATACTATACACTATCCCCTATTGGATCCTATTGGTCTCTAGACTACCGACTAGTGTACCCTATGACCCTATGTCTAGTGTATACACTAGTCACTATAAGTCTATAGACTCTATGTCCATTGGATCCTGTCCATTTGACCACGACAAGTCTGACTACGACAGGATCCGGACCCGATTCAACGCACCGGTCACGTCACCGCAACGGCGCTGTTGGCGCTGTTGGCCCCGGGAAACGCCCATTGCCAGTCACCAAGGGTGCTCAAGAAAGGTCCCAGCAAAAGACCCGTGGAAGATCTTCATCTTCCACAAAAAATTTTCCTATAGATCGATCTCTTATCCCTTCCACTCACTTTTCACCCACCCGCTCTCCACACCTGCCACATGATCTGCACCACGCCCGCGCGCGGCGCCAGCATCGCCCGGAGCCCCCAGACCTCGGACGGCGCTGCGCCCAGCGCCACCGGCGCCACCGCGCTGAAGGCGCCGGCGCCGCCGGCGGAGAGGCCGCGGACGCGGAACTGGAAGCACCTGGGAGGTGGGAGACGGGGAGGGCAGAGTTTTGGGGGGACGCTTCACCACTCTCACTCCACCACTCACCAACATGGTTACGTGGAAAACTTCCTTTAGTTCATGTAGCAAAATGGGTCTTCCCGGAGCCTCTCTTCCACTTCCGGCTTCTTAGTTGCTGGGTTTCGACCTCCCCGTGGCCAAGCGACGTCCCTTTTTGAGCCGACGTCCGACTCCCGAGTCCCCACGGCCTGCGAGTGTGGGTGACCCAGCTGGAGAGGTCCAGCTCCGCCTGTCGCGGAACCGCGGAACGGCGTTCCGTTCGAAAGGGATCACTGGGGGGGGGTGGTCGCCCCAGACTAGACACGGGGCGAAGACTACATGGGTCGCTCGGAGATGGCTCGGATCATCAGGGTGGAAACCGGAGTTGAAAGACGAGTTTTCAGGTGGCAGTTTTCCATCAACTCCACTCTTGGCGAGGGCAAACATGCACATCTCAAGCAATTGCAACAAGAGTTTGCGGAAGCTCTTGGAATCGATGTACCTCCAGAGATCTTGGGAAACTCGATCCTACCAGGACAATGCCCCAAGATCCACCTCGGTCAAGGGGTGCTCCTCTCAAACAGAAAATCCGTTGAACGGATGTTGACACATTGTTCACGCTTTGTTCTTCCAAGATCCCAAGTGAGCTCGCCCAGACCATCCATGTATGGAATGTCATACATCGGGGACATGCATGTATATAACTATTCATAACTATTCAATACCTGGTTCTTCAAAGTGACCTTTTGATAACCTGGTTGGTTCGGTCACTTTTTCGCCTCCGAGTAGGGTCACGAATAGGAACCTTCAAGTTCGGTCACGAACTGAAGAAGCTGGTACATGGATGGTCTGGTTAAGATGAGCTCATTAGGTCCTGCCCATGTCTGAGCAAGTTCCTTGGAGTTCCATCGGACTGGCGAGTCCGGCGGCGGGAGATCACGTGAGATCACGCATCGGACTGGTCTCTGCACACCGTGGAGAAACATCGGTGCAGTGTGGACATACTGGCAACTAGTAGGCAGGGGACCCTGGGAAGATCAAAGAGTTGGGTATGTGTGGGAAGGGGTTGGCATTTACATATGCGTTGCAGTTGGACGACCAAAATGATCCTTCAAGACTTGGAAGAAAGAACTTCTGCGCTGACACTTCTGACGAAGGGCATTCAGGTCCCTATAATAATGTAGTACAGTGACGGTCCTCTGTCACATCAGCTTTGCTGGGAACTCTATTTTCTTTGCGATTCAATCGATGCGACCCTCTCACATCATGGTAACAGCGCACACAAGCTAAACGAGTTAAACAAGAAGAATCGATGCGACTGAAGGCCGCTACTGTACGACTCTTGATGAATAAACCACCCCATATGAAGAGCTTGTTCACTTCAAGTGCGCGAGGTTTATGAATCTACAGTAAGAGTCTACATCTCGCCATGTCAGCATTGCCACTTGCCTGAAACAACGGGACCCAACCAACCCCGGCACCGTTCCACCGTACCGTTCCAATTCGGTCCCAGCGGCCGCCGGGACCGTGGAGGTCTCCAAGAGCTTCGCCGGGACCTCGCCGGTGCCTTCGTCCCAATAGACCTGTCTCCGAGACCGATCGGAGGCGCAGCAAAGACGCGAAGACGAAGTGCAGATGAGGAAGGCGGGTGTTGGGTGTGCATACAAGGCATATATATACACACCATCTCCCTCGATCTCTCGTGGAGCATCCGGAAATGCAATCTAAGTATACTCCCTATAGGGATCCAAGTACCTTCTCAGAAGTTGATTGGAGACACTGTTATGTAGCTTTGGAGAGTACCATGTCGCCAAAACAACGCATATTACGGATCGACATGAAGGGCCTTGGCATTTTTGATGTCTGTGCGTCACATCGCGAGTGTCTGCCTCCATGCCACTCACACCAGCCCATCACGACATCTCCCCCTTTACCGCGACCACGCGACAAAATATAAACATCTTCTACAACGACAATTCACATCCCCACACCCCACCCAATTCCACCAACTTCCGCCCCATGATTCACGTTGGTGCACCACCCACAGCACCACCCACCGTTTCAATGAACGATACCTTTAACGTTTCGTCATGTCTCGTCTATCTACCCCCTAAGGACTTACCCAACAATCAGTCCATCAACAGGCCACATACCAGCATGAATGAAGTGATATATACACACTAATCCTGCCACTCTTTATCCTTGGCCTTGGACGCGCAACAAACAATTACCAAAGACTCCATGTATGGCATATATATATATATAGATAGATTTACTTAAAGGCTTATGTACCTTGAGGCATCTTGGAGCGGTTGAGCACCCAGGCTGATAAGGCGGCCTCTTTTCCAGTCCCAAACAGGTCACAAACCTGGGTCCCAACGCCGGCCGCCCTCCGCCCTCCGCTCGTTCCGTTCCGTTGCGCTACGAGCCTCGTAGCCCGTGGCCTCGGGCGCCCGCGCGAAGCGCGCCCGCAGCTGTCGGCACTCCGCCAGCGAGGCGTCGCAGGGCACGGCGCGGTGGGTGGGCGGCGACCACTGCAGGGACAGCAGCGTGCCCGTGGCATTGGCGTCTAAGGAGACGATGTCACCCGGTGGTCCTGCAAAGAGTTGGCCGCTCAGTTTGAAGAGTTCAAGAGTTGCGACGTGAGTCAGGGAAAGATGCGAACTACATAGGATATATATATATAACGAACTTGAACAAGAGTTTTTGATAATCCCTGTGTGATTCTGTTGGGCTCTTGGATAGAAATTCCACCCGGTTCCAAGAGGACATACCTCTAGAAATGCATGACATCCACTTGCTTCCCGATGACCGACTTCACCCTACTGGTTGATGGCAAGAACGAAAAAGAGCATCGACTAGCAACGCACGAGAGTTTGCAAGCTACAAGAGTCATCAAGAGTCAGCCAGTTTCATTGGCCCTAGGGATCCAAGTACCTTCTCAGAAGGTGATTGGAGACTATTTATGCAGGCTTGGAGGGCCCAAGTACCTTCTGAGGTTCGGTACGACTGGATGCCTAGGGATTGTTTCAATGAGACATTTCCCTGGCCAGCTCATCGGCTCACTGGCTCAGTCTCTCCTGTCACTTCACCAGTTTCGGGTCAACGCACACCTCGTCTCCCAGCAGTCACTTTTGGCGAGCTTGGGTGCCTACTCCCCTGCAAATGAACATGGAACCCCCAAACCACTGGGTTGTAGAGGAAAGAGTCTTCCACGGGTCAATTCTCAGGTTCTATGTACATGTTCTGGGTTGCCTAATTGGAGGACGTTGGCGTGCCCCGCCCCCATCACCTCCGCCGGATGGGACGCACCCCAAACCCACCCACCGCCCCTCCGGCCGTGACTCCGCCCCGTCTCTTCCGGCCGGGACGACCCGCGCAGACCGGGACCGAAGGTTCGGAACTTGTGGGCCCAAACCGAAGGGAGAGACGTGGGCAGCATCGGCATGGACGACTTGACATGGACGACAGATCCATCGGATTCCACCGCGAAGCCCATCGGAAAGCAGTGCTTCAAAAGGAGAACGGAAACTCCGAACGGCTGTCACTTGGACCATGAGCTCCACCCGAACGGCTCCACCCGATCTCCAAACCGATCTTCACCGAGCGGTCTCCACCGAATGGGCCCCACCCGATCTCCCTCTCCTGTGGTCGTGAGTTCCACGGTGTTGGTGTGAGGACCCTCGTACACCTGCCACACAGCGAGCCGCTGGGCGTCGATGGTGTCGGAATCCTTACTTTCCAATACCCAAAACGCTCTGATCGATGTTTTTTTTTCCATCATGCGCCGCCCCATTGACCCTGGGTCAAGAAAAAAAAACATGGAAAGAACGACCGGTGTTGCTGAAGGTCGGGTGGGGAAAGTTCTCAGTAACAACCAAAAAACACTACACCTTTGCAGGACTTCGATCTTCAAGCCGTACACCCGTGGCCCACGTCACATGTTCGTTGCACCAGGACGACTTCTTCGTACTCCCGACCCACCGATGCTCACAGTGCTGCATCCGATGATCCATCACGAGAAGTTACTCTCACCCGCATGCGGCCATACCATGCATAACATGAAAAAAAAAACTCACTTGGTATCAATCCCCAGGAAGTCAGGCAGACAATGGTCCTGAGTTGGGGGAGCCGTGAGGGTACGCTCCGTCCTTTCGGGTACGTATAAAACAGTGAGGCCAATGTGTGCATGCATCGAATTAGTATTTCTGTCGAATGGCTTGAAGTGAGTTCAAGTACACAACGCATCCATGCATGCAGCCACCAGGAGAACACCACAGAGAAGGCCTGGTTGATGCCGTTCACGGAGAAGGCCAGCGTCGTGCTGTAGAGCTCCGGCAAATCCAACTGAAGGCACGACGACTTCGGGTGCATGGACGATGTTCCGCCCATGCTATAGGGGTCAGTGGATGATGGGGCCTGGTTGCAGGCCTTGTTCGGGATCAGATGCGATATTTAGCAAGAAGCAGGGTGGTAACACCCTTACAAGAATCATTCATTATTCTCCTGGAGTTGCCATTGCTTGGCTTGACAACCCAGATCTATTTGGATGACGTTTCACTGTTCCGCGAGTCTGGAGTCTGGCGGTTACCATACTGTTTCTCCACATCTCCCCGCAACTGCTGTTTTGCACCGAAAGCACCAACATCGACCACCTGCAAACCTGGTAGAATCAGGCCTTAAAAGGGCAGAGTATTGAATGTACACCATCTAGTTTGCACACCATCTACCAGCATAGTCAAAGTTGCATGCAGCAAAGGGAGTCACATGCAACTTCTGCACATCTGGTCCATGGTTACAGGAACAAAAGGCCTTCATTGCCATTTTCAGCATTTGTGGTGCTTTCTGAGTGTACTGGAGTGCATCTGTTCAGCATACCACCACCACCACCACCACCGCCACCAACCGAACTGGTCCGCTTCAGCATCCCTGCTGCCTCATAGCAGGTCTTGTCTCCAGGCACCTCCGCAACCAAACGCTGAAAACCCTCGTAGTGCATCCAAATCCGATAGCTGGTGATCTGCAGGCTGTCGTGCGCTCCACCTGGTTCCGGATGCGCTCCAAAATCGATTGAACATGATTGAACTCTTGGATTTGCTTAAGGCTAAGGAACCAGCATTAAACAAACAAAAAGACCCAAACAATTCACTCAGAGAGGAAAAACCTAGAATACGTGTCAAGATCAGTTCGATTCATTCATTCCCTCATTCCCCCTTTTTTGCTCAACACTCGAGTCACTGAAGGCTCGCTTCCGCTTCTTCGATCCCTTTTTTGCAAACTGTTTTTTGGTGTTGTTTATATTTTTGGCTTAAAGGATCTTAAAGGGATATGGATTGTAAGGGAAAGATGTTCGAATGAATCGCAGGATCTGTCATGCCAACAACTCACGACAAGATATATCGTGAAAAGAAGAAAACACACCGGGAAAAAAAACAAAAACAAACCAATTCCCCAAATCGATCCCCTGCAAGAGACCCAATTCACATCACCTATCATCACCTCCACAGAATCCAGTGTGACCCCTTGAGCCCAGCCCCCCCCGACCCATGCCGTACGTGTGGGGCTTCCGTACGTCTCGCATGCCATGGCGATCAGATGGCAGAAATCACCCTATGAGGAATGACCCCCCAAATCGATCCGCCATGCATCCGAAGAGCAACATGAGTTGAGTGGCGCGCATCGGATCGCATCCCATGCAACAGGAAGCCCTCTAAAGCTCCAGTTCCCGCATCCAACAGGAAGCCCCATGTTCGTCTCCCCCGTCCTCCAGCACCCCCCACACCCACGTCCCCACACGCCTCCCACATCCTCCGGCGCGGTCCAACACAGCCGCGGCCGCACCGCGCGCTCGTGCGGCCACTGCGCCGTGAGGCCCTGCGGCGGCGTGGGCGGCTCGCAGACGAGCAAGGCGCTCTCGGTGCTCCAGCTGGAGGCGCCGTAGGCGTTCACCGCCCGGAGCCGGAAGCGAAAGGTGCTGCCCGGCTGCAAACCGTTCATCTGATAGCTGGTGTACTCGGACCTGCAATGGGAAGGAGTGAGAATGAGGGAACGCAAGTGAGTGATGTTGAAGTTGGCTCTGGAAGGATGGAAAATGGCTCATCACCTACTTCAAGCAGAACAGGTTGTCAAAGACGTGTGATGTGGATCTTTTTCCATGGGGTCCTGAAGGTAGTTGTCTGAGCCCATTTTTACAGCGTGAACTTTCTGCCAAAACGTCTTGTTAACGAAAAGGTCATGATTCGATGATTCGATAACTAACGTTATCACTCCTTCAGGCCTCAGTCACACTTGAAAAACATAGCTAAGGATATGTCCCAGCATCATCCAACAGGTCTCCGAAATGGAGGGTTCTTGGGCCCCAACAGGTCTCAATTGGTGACCTGGTGGAGGATGATGGTACATGTGAATACTGGCTTATGTAATTTTGACAAGGGGAGACCTTACAAGGGGGAAGAAGGGAATAGATCAAGACCCATTGGGCTATATAAGGGGGCCGTTCCCTATTTAAAACTCACCCCTCAAAACTGCGGTGGCATGGTGTGGTCGCCTTGGAGAGGGGCCTTTTGCTATTCACGACCGCTCTTGACTCTACAGGTCACCAATGGTTCGACCTGGGCAAGGGCCCAACAACCCAAAAAACTAATGACCTGGCAGTGAGGGTGCTGGTAGTTCTTCACACTGGTCCAAGAACAATCTTTCCTCATCTACCATCTCCTATCTTAGACCAGTGTGAAGAACTGCCGGGCCTCGCACCTCCTGAAACGTCTGAAACCGCACTCGCTGGCCGATGGCCGCCGCACCTGATGGCCAGCGTGACCGTGAAGTTGCCACCAAATCCTCCGCCCAACGTCGCCCGACGTCTCGGCTTTACACCGAGCTTTTCACCTGTCACCGGCTTTCGTGATGACCTTCTGGAGGTTGGACATGGATCATGGATTGGAGCTCCAAAGACTTGGACAAAAGCACGGAAGTCCTCAGCGTGACACATTGAGTCACATTTATACAGTTTTTTGTTGTATAGCTTGTCCAGTTTCCACTCACTGGTGTGATCTCAACCCTCAACCCCCCTCTTTCAACCTCACTGGCCAACTCGTGCAAGTGCTTGTCATCTCCAATGTCCGAATTTTCAATCATTCCATCCATCCCAATCCCCAGCCCTTCCCATCTCGATGCCCTTTTCCCCCCCCTTCCCTTCCGTCGTCTCCTTCATCGTGCTGTAGTTCCATGTACTCCACCGGCGGCGTCGCCGTCGGAATCTCCCAGGAGATCGTCAGCGCGTCGCGCCGCACCGCCGTCGCGGCGTCGCGCTGCACTGGCGGCGCCTCGGGCGGAGCCTGGAAGAACAGGAGGGCGGGCGGGGTGCGCATTTGGCCTCAGAACAGTGAAGGTTTGGGAAGGTGAGGTATATTGTTCTATGTCAGGTGGCGGCAAGGGTTACTTTCCAATGTGAGGTTTTGCATGAGACCTTGCTTTGGGAATTCATATCTTGTTTTTGAGACGTTGGAAACACATGGAAAAACCAACACCAGGGAACCAGGTGACTTCAGGACCCCACAGGTTTCGGTTGGTGGCCATCAATCGAAAACCATGATCTCTAGCCTTTTAAGACTGTTACATGGTTACGTGAACCGAATCCTGGATCACCCGCTCCGACCAACAGCATGCCTAGACTCTAGAAGCGACAGGCACGCTTCTAGACCCGGACCCGGCTTATCGCCGAACGTCCCAAAACGCGCCTGGCCAATCGTTTCGCCCACCTCAGGTGGCTTCTGTGTTAGGGGCCAATTCGGTGGGTGATTCCCCCAATCCTTGAGACTGCGCACAACGAAGAGGGCCATAACAGGGCTGTGATCGGTTGCATGTTATGATCTATGCGGATGGATCAACGCACTGGAACACCTGGTCTTGCACAGTGGGAGTTCTTAACTGCTTTGCCGCAACCCAACTCAGCACAAAGCAATGCTGAATCAGCCCGATTCGGCCTCTCCATCCCAACATGCATGATGTGACCTTTCCTGGAGTAATTAAGTTGGAGCAAGCTTTCAAACAAGCCAACCAAAACAAACAAACGCTCCACAGCCCTGGCGCTGCTCTAGGCTTTCAAAAAACCGGATGAAGTGTGTTCAGCTGTGCAAAGGGTCAGAGGGGCTGCTCCCTGTTCACCTTGTTGACTCACCAGAACGGCTTTTCAGGCCACAGCCTCACACACCACCTGAGGACTGCGCAGCTCCAGCTAGTCGACGGGCTGGATAGCGCACCTGCGCCTGCAGGCTGGGACTGGAGGCGTGGTTCGCGCCAGGATTACAAAGGCTGGAGGGCCACTCAGGTGCATTCGTAGATGGCCGGTGGGCGCAGCCGGTCCATGACAGCCGCTTGGGCAGCCGGGGCTACGAAAGCCCCGCTCCGGCTCCACCGCGCCTACTGGGTGACAGTGCAACCAATGCACCTCGTGCAGGTCACAGCTCTGCCAACCAGTCACTCTTACAAGCACCTGCCTTTGTTCCCGATCCAACGTCACTGAGCCACAGATCGCAACAATAGTTGCCGGTGCGAAACGTATGTCTGGTTGAGGACATTTCAAACTTCGTAGCTTTTCAGAATTCTGCAGACCTGAAAAACACTTCCCACTCCGAGAAACTCGGGAGTGCGTCCCGTGCCCTGTCCTCGGTCCGTTCGTCCGGGCGGTCTCTTCCAGGACGACCGGCCGGAGCCAAAGAAGGAACGAAGACACCGTGAGCCAGGCTCCAGAAACAGGTCTGTCGCATCCAAGCAGTCACAAGTTCTTCTACTGATGGGGGGGGGTTCACTCCAGAAGAAATCCACATCCATGCCGAACGTCCCCCCCAAAAGAGGAGTGCACGGGGTCCTTCAAATGCATAGGGTTTATTCGATCTTCTGGTAATCCAACAGCCCCCCCGCCTGGGCTTTTTTGGAGTTTGCTTTGACAAATTGATCACATTGGTCCGCTGCAAGACTGAAATTTGCATAGGCATTTGGAAAGGAATTTGGATGCTCCAATGGACTTTCTCCCCATCTTCCGGACGTTCCATGAGTCCGACAGGGTGGAACCTTTGGTCGACATGCCACAACAACACTCCCTCGAACGAACGAAGCCTTCCAGATGAGCAGTGTTCTGATAAACCCTTTGATAAACCCTTTCATGTGAAAAAAACAAACACGTTGCTCAGATGTTCAAGGCCGTGTCCTGCAAGTTGTTCGTCATTCCCTTGCGCCTCAAGGGGCTGACTCGACCATGTCCTGGTGGCCAGGAGATCGCCCGAAACTCGACACATGTGGGTGGTGGCAAAGACATCATATCAGCATAGAACCCAAGTACGTAGTATCAGGAGGATCTAATGATATAACTAATAACTTATAATATAACCAAATATAATATACTATACCTAAAAAATGATGATCCTTTTGTTTAAAATTAATTGACTTCCAATGAAGGAGGGGACCAGCCGGTCCGGACAAGGCGGAAGGCGGACACAAACCCCGACACAGCTGGATCAGGTCTGGAGAAGGCCACGGTGCAGCTAGGCATGGATACACACAGACCAGGACAAGATGCGGACAAGGCGGAGGTCACAGCAAGCGCGGCCAGAGGACAGCAGGAGGACACCAGCAGGACCACACCCGGACACAGGGTTCAGGCACGCGGCCACTGGCAGTGTTGCTTGACCTTTAAGAGAGAACCCCAACAGTAAACTGTTTGGGGAATCGAACACATTCAGGGGAGAATCCACGCTCATTTCTCACTCTTGATTTGGTGGTTCGAGATGTGTTTGCTTTCTGAGGGGTTCCAGCTGAAAAACTGAGAGCTTTCGCCACCAAGTTCACCATTCAAGTTCAATGGAAGATGAGACATGTCACCCTGCCGGTACACACTTGTTGAATGCTTACGGCTCACGCGTGTAAGACTTTTCTATCGAAGAACTTGTGCCTCAAAGCCTTATTTTTGCTTTTCCCATGAAAGGTGCGAAAGGATAAGGATGATCTTTGCTCCTAGTAGCTTCTTGCTCCTAGTTGTAAGGCCCGTTCGTAGCGATGCCCTTCGCTCCGTTCGTAGCGATGCCAGGAGCCCCGATGGTAGCGAACATTGTTACTAGTAGCAAAAGAAACCATCACAACTAAAGGCATCACCCCATCACATCATCTGGTGCCGGATCACACTCGCCGATCCGCCGGGCCCCTTCGTGGTCAGTATTTTTCTCCCTTCTCCAGATCTCCAGGGTGGTGCTTGAAACGTGGATCAACCAAAACATGTTGTGGATCACCACATGTTGACGTAGTCGCCTGCCTTTCTTCCATGTTTTCCCATATTAGCCATCTGATCATGATTGACGAGACCATCAATACGCACCACGAGAATCATCAAGGACAAGCGATTGATCGTCGCCTGTGGGATGTTCACTCATCGGGTATCCAAACTGGTTGAACTGAACAACTGGAGTTTGAGGGCACTCGAAATATATCGAATACCAAAAGAATTGCCTGTCAGCTCTTTTTTACTTTCTGAAAGCGAATGGGCGCTGTTGGTATGTCGGAAGGCTCTTAGTGTAGTGTGTCGAGCAAGCCGGGGTTGGGGGATAGACCAATCCAAATCTCCCAAACCTACCAACAACCAGCAAGGATCCATTGCTGCAGAGTATCAGAAACTCAGCGATGGAATGCAAATGGCCCGCATAAACTGTGCTAGAAAATACATGGCAAGTAGGAGAGTGAGTCGCGATACAAAATGTTATGTGGTGACTGTCCTCGTTTCGATGCCCCGTCAGAGGCTCTATAGCCATATTGGCAACTGACTATCACTGGGTTGCAGATCGATGTGATGATGCAACCTCCCATCATTAAAAGCTTTTGTCAGACCCGATGTTCTTTTCCAAGGTGCTTGTCGTGGGTAAGTAGGACCTCGACTCTGTTCAGTCTTCATCCCCCCCCGCCCACCAACGCCATGCAAGACAGAATTGCATGCGCTGCACACACTCCTGGGCACCAGCTCGGCTGTACTCCTGGTGTCTCAGCTGGTGCTTGAGTGACACCGAAGCAAGGAGAACAACAGGATGGATTGGTGACCAACGGTCCGGGTCCGAAGACGGGGCAACTTTTATGATCGTCTTTTGGTGGCCACGTCATTGTCTTAACAGGTTCATTGACGTGTCATTCAATCCCGGACTGGGGATCCACTGCCACCTTCTCAGGAGGTACTTGGGCCCTCCAAGCCTACATAAATAGTCTCCAATCGCCTTCTGAGAAGGTACTTGGATCCCTATAGGGAATGTTACACGTGCTTGTGGCTTTCGCCAGTTCAGCACATGCGTGTTTTTCTGCCGACTCCCAGACGGAAAGAACTCCACAGGAACTCCGCTCTGATCCGGTTCGCTTGTCTCGTCTGGTCGTTTCAACGGTCGAAACGAATCGTCGAAAGGAGTCGCACGGTGCAGGAACTCCGCTCCGCTACGAGAGCCGAAGACCATCAAGTTCGAGAGGCCGCCACTTTCTTCCAGTGCTTCGTCTCCCCAAATCCCCTAGCTCGGTGGTGCTTCGTCTTCAAGTGGTGGTGGTGCTACTTTTCTTTGGGCGAATGGAAACGTGGGCCGCGTCACAGGGCCGGCCAAGCACGCTGGCGGACGGTTCTCTGACGACCAGGGTCACCAAAGGTCACCAACTGCCGGAGGTCGACCCCCGCAGAGGTCGGCTTCTTGCCAACACCAAGCCTTGGGCCTTGCCCGGGTATGTCATCCCATTCGCTCCCAAAAAGGTGAAGCGACCATGAATAGGAACCCCCAACACCGGTGCCGCACTGGGATAGTCGAACTAGGGTTCTGACAACCTCTGTTGGCTGTAACGGCGGATCTATGAACATTTGGGTTTGCAGGCCGAACTCTCTGATACATGGGAATGTTCTTGTTTGACCGACGGCTCTAAAGGGTAAACCTGGGACACTTTCAAATCCATCCTTTTGCTCAACGAACCACCCACTGCCACTTCTCGGACCTGCGTGTGGAAACACCCTTGTCGGTCGCTGCTTCTCCGCGCTGAAAACCCCGTGGCAACCCGTCGGCACCTCGCGAGGAAGAGGAGCAGGAAGAGTATCAGCACCTGCGGATGACGAGGAGACCGGGAGACCGATGCCGCGACCAATTCCTTCCCCCCGCCCAGAGAAAGTCGGACGCTTAGTGGTTGCCAGGACGGAAACAGGTGAGGCCGATCAACTCGGCAGCTGGGTGGCTGTGGCTGTGTGAAGACCTGTAACACAGCTGTCCAGTGGCCGTTCAGCCAGTGGCCATCAGTTCGTGGACAAAGAATATGACGTGTGCTGCCATGCGTTGCCCCCAAAAACCATCGGTTTTTTGGTGGGTCGAGTCGAGTTTTGCCGGGACAGCATGTCTAGAGACCATACAGATCGACCAACCTGCACATCTCCTGCGCTCACACATCGACCGACGTCGCACAGTGTCTCATCCGGCACGGGCAGCACACGCACATGAAATATCATGAACATCACGATAGCTCGCAGTGCAACATGTTCAGCTGTTACAGTGCAGTGATAGTGATCCAAGTGCCTTCTCAGAAGGTGATTGGAGGTACTGTTATGTAGGTTTGGAGGGTCCAAGTACCTTCTGAGAAGGTACTTGGATCCCTAGGGCGGTGATAGTGATGCTCTCTTCGAGTTACATCCACTGCCTGGTCAAAGACCTTCAGCATTCGATGAACGGGCCGCTGGTGTAGGCCTGCTACGCCAGCTGGCGGTGGTGTGGGGCCACCCCGACTAGCCGATGGCCAATGTTCACCTTATGGTTTTGTATCATGTTCACCCACTGTTGGCTTGGTGGATCTTTGTAGACTCACTTCACCTCCAAACTTGAACAGAAAGGTCTGGTCTTTCCCGTCCATTTTGGGGAACATGGTGGTGTCACCTGTCACCCTGGTCTTGCATCCAAACGCCCATCCGAAACGAGTCAACTCTTTGACACTCTCTGTGCATGTCAAGATGTCAACACTTGCCTTGCCGCAGTGCATCTCTTCGATGATCGAGCTAAAGGGTCATGCAATCTCTGGTCAAAACGCTCTGGTGTAGCTTCACCTTTTGTCTGCGTGTGAAACGCTCTGGTTTGTAATACTTTCTTTGAGATGTCTGTCATCTTGGAATCTCTTTGGCATCGAATGCGCTCGACCAGCGGGGTCCCGAAAGTGGTGGACACCGAACGTAATACCTCAATCCTCTGTCAGCTAATCAACCTCCAAACCTGGACGATCCAGAAGCAGAAACCTCTTCAACCACGTCGGTCACAGTTTTTTGACATAAATAATCTTGCTGAATGTTGCTAGATACGCCTGTCATCTCCATTGATACTTCATGGATACTCCATGTGGTTTTCTTAGACCTTGCAAGGTCTCGCTCGAGACCTTGAGCCCAAACGAGACATGAAGTCGCCACATGTCCTGTGGTTGACTTAAGTGGACCTCGGTCTGGTGGGGAGACCTCTACGCCGCAAACTGTTTCATGCAGCTCTGGGGCGGAGGCCAAAGGAGCCAAACGAAGAATTCGTGTCAGAATTCTGCAGTACGTACCCAAGTTCGATGGCTGGTGCGATTCATTGGGTGCGCCAAAAATTCATCGAGAAGCAGTGGCAGTTGGTTCCGATCTGCGCTGTGCTCAGGACTCTTTGCGACATGCGCCGACCCAAGGCGATAACGTACGCGTGAACTTCTGTCAATCTCCAGTCGACCAAGGAAGGTAGCTTGGCCGGGCCAGTGTGGGCCTACTTATTACCTGTTGACTGCCAAGAGTGTCTTGAACCATACTACTTGGTAGTATGCGTGTTTGCTTGAATTAAATTTGCCTGAATTCTAGGAACAGCACAGTTTGTTGAACCGTTCCACGTGCAAAAAATAATTTGACAATAGCAGCGTTTGTTTCAATTTGCTGCTGTTGGCTGCCCTCTTCTATGCATTCGTTTGGATACAAGTCAATGCTTTACAGTAACATGTGTGCAGTGGTAACGGCGTCAATTACCATGCATGCAAAAATTGAACCCCGTAAAGATACAAATCCCTCCAACATGTTCACCTGACCCAACAGATTTGGACCCCCAAAAATCAGTTTGACGGTCTTTCTGCAAAACAATCAAGTTGCATGTTTTTACATTTAATTGATTGTCCGTGGGGTCCCTGGCTTTACCCTGTCTGAAGGATGTGCTCATCTAGCTGATTCGAGAGATCTCAGATTGACAGGAGCTCAGATGGGCTAAAAAAACCTTCACCGCGCCCAGCGGTGATTCACGAAGCTCCTGTGTCAAAGGGTCCGTGTAAACAACTGCAGCTCGCTGGGTCCAAAGAAGCAAGCAGTTGGGGGACAGTTTCCTCGTGAGCGAACTGGTGGTGATACTTGTGAACTGGATGGTCATTCCATTCAGCAAGTACCGGATTGAACGTGATGATTGAAATACATCTATATATACATATATAACTATATATATATATATATATAGACCCCCTGACTTACTCAAGTGGCCCGTGGTTCAGTCATTTTGTACTCAATGGCCTGCACAGGATAGAGCACTATAAAATGATAAGCCAATGTTTTTATATAATGACTACATGGACATCAGGTCATGAGCGTCCAGTTTGCGCAATCAGCGCTCTACAATAATAAAGTGATGCTTCATCAAAAATGTGAAAAGAGTACGGTGTTTTATCAAATGAGGCAACATGAGATAGCCAAATCTACACACAAATCACAGGTCTATAATTTTGACCTGTGAGGGTGTGAAAGGACAAAATACTTTGCTGATACATTGACTCTGCTTCACGTCGGGCTTTTCTCTGACTTCTGGATTTGGGCGCCCCACTAGGGAAAGGCAGTTGGTTCTTAGACGTTTTAGATGCTTACACTTCAATCATTGTTCACTCTTCTTTGCTTGGATGCTTTAGTGCCCATACTCTTCTCTACTTCTCATGATTCAGGATCAAAAACTTTTGGTGCATTCACTGCTGAAGTTCGATGCCTTCAAACGCCGTAACCCGAACAAATATAAGATGGAGATCGCCTCAGATCCGCTATGTCAGGCGAGGACTCAAAGTAGCATGGACAAATCCACGTCGATAAACACTCTGCAACGGACCCGCCTCACTCTCGCCGTGGGTCTCGCCGTGGGTCTTGCCGTGGGTCTCGCTTCTTTCGGGCTGCCTTGTCCCGCCGCAGCCGCAACGGGCCATGCCGTGCAGGGCCGCAGCAAGCCGGCGCCCTTGCTTGGACTCAAGACCGGCCATCGTTCAGCGTCATGCGGTGTCCCACAGTCCAAGCTCTCAGGTCCCTTTCAGCTCCTTCAGCTTCTTTCGCTCAGTCCAGGGGACGGGCCTTTGCTCCGCCCTCCGCAGCTGAGAACCCCACCGCCCAGTTTGGGCAACCACCACTCCACAATCAATAAAGCGATGACGCTTCACAAAAATTGCGAAAAGAGCACCGTGCCCCACAAGCCTGAGAAGCGTACCAATCAAGCCAGGCGCACAAACCGAGAAGCGTACCCGCGGTCCGGCTCAAAACACGACCGACGCGGGGTCACAACCACAGCTCCCCACCTAGAACCGTCAACAACTGTCACTTGCCCCCGCCGTCAAAAAGACCTGTTGGGGGGAAATGCATTGATATCTGCTATGGCCACAGACCTCTGGGCAAGGGGGAAGTAGAGGGAAATCCAGGACCCCCGTGACAGGATATCCCAAGCTCCCAAGCTCCGCCTTCTGCTGGCGTTCGCGCTCGCCTCAGATCGGCTATGTCAGCGAGGACTCAAACTTCACTAAGTCACTAAGTCCATCTGAACCTTCTCAATTCGACCCTGGGCGCCGAACGCACGATTCCTCGCAATGCAGCCGCCAGCCAATCCATCTCCTGGGGGCCGAACGCTGCATGCCCAACAGGGCGGCTTCCAGCCAATGACCCTGGGCATTCCGCGGAGCGCCGCTTGCAGCCACGGAGCCTGGGCATTTCGCCGCTGGCTCCCAAAAGCGCGGCTTGGAGCCGCCGGACGCGCGATCCCGCGAAGCGCGACTTGGAGCCGCCGCATGCGCCATCCCGCGACGCGCGGCTTGGAGCCACGGAGCCTGGGCATTTCGCCGCTGGCTCCCAAAAAGGCTCAAAGAGCAAAAGGAGCGTCAATCCGACGGCCTTCCGACTTGCCCCTTTCCATTGGAGAAGGGTCTGGATTCTGAGGGTAGGGCATTGTTTTTGGTTGGAATGACTGACTATTTTTGCATTTTTCTGGGGTATTGTTTGTTTGTTCGTTCGTGCGTCCGTCCGTCCGTCCGTTCGTTGTTTGTTGTTTGTTTGTTTGTTTATTTGTTTGTTTGTTTTTGTTTGTTTGATTGATTGATTGATTGATTGATTGATTGTTTGTGTGTTTGTTTGTTTGTCTAATTTTGTTTAGGTCGAGGAATTTGTTTCTCGGTGAGGTTGAGTTACATCAAATTACGGTCGAATGGCGCCGTGCCGCGGGGCCGCGGGCAGCATGCGGGAGGCCTGCCCTGGCCTGATCGGCATATATGACAGACATGGAGTGTCTGGGTATACCCTAGGCTTCCAACAACCATTAATTTAATGTAATTTAATAGGCTTTACCGAATCAACTAAGGATTTTACATTAGAAAAACCAGGTCAACCATTGTTTTAATGGTCTTGGAAGTCTAAGGCATATATGGTGTTCGTTTGCGTCGCGGCGTGGGTGCTGAGGGTATAATATAGGGACGCGCTGCGCCATGCTGCCAAGCACACCCGCTGAAGTGGGACCCGGTGTCCGACGTCCGTTTTTCTTCAAGGGATCGGAACAAAAACGCATGGTCAGGTTGTGTGTGATATACGCCGTGTACCCTATAATATAAAAATATATATTATATAGAAGTCCAGTTAGACGGAAACAATTGACGCTGAAGTAAAGGAAGTTCCCGAAATCAGGTCCCCTATAGTCAGGCCATTCTTTTGATAGTCGACTGGACTCCGCGTTTTGAGCCAAGCCCGTCTTGGGAGAGGATATCCCAAGCTCCCAAGTTCCGCCTGGCGGTCGCGCTCACCTCAGATCGGCTATGTCAGCGAGGACTCAAACTTCACTAAGTCCATCTGAACCTTCTCAAAGGCATGGAATAGAGCGGCCTCGATTTCTCCTCTCCCCTCTGGCTGGACCGTGTTTGATTCGATCACGGGGAAGCAGTGAGATCAAAAACCTTCCCTCCGCTACCTGCAGTACCATGCTGAAACAAGGCAAAGTGAAGCAGTCTTGCCCAACAAATCGATCTCCACGTCCTTTCGACCCTGGGGGCCGAACGCTGCATGCCCCTCAGCGCCACTTTCAGCCATGTGTCACCCTGGGCATTTCGCCGGCTCCCAAAGAGGCCACAAACTGGAAGTCAAAAGACCACAGTACCCCATCCGTCACTTGGGTCTATCCTATTACCAGGGCCTCAGTGTATGATGGTTATGATGGGTACTAAAGGCCTTGCTCACTGATATATCATGGTCTATAACATGCCAAATTTCAAGACCCAGAATCAACGGATTCACCCAGCAACAAACGGATCTCCAAAAATGGTCCAGAGTAGTGTCCAACGCTTGCGACGCTTGAGGAATAGCAGCGTTAGACTGCTTTTCATGCAATAGCATTCGATCAATCATCCAAACCCACGAAGCTGTCTGAGCTTGTACCCCACACATTGAAGAGGAATGGTTTGCAAGGCCCTAGAAGGCTCAGGTTCTGGGTTCAAAAGTCTAAACCATATACAGTTATGTTCAACGATGGCAGCCATACATGACCAACAATCAAGAATGTTTTCTGTGAAAAACGATAATAATGCAAAACAACAGCAAATGAACATGCAAAAGCAGCGCAAATTGCTTTGTGCTTGCATGTGTTTTGTTGTTTTTTCACTTTGTTTTCGCTTAATTTGATTTGTTTCTTTATTTTCACATTATTTTTGGTATTACTTTTTCGCTTTTTTCCAGGAACGTACAGCGAATATTGCTGACGGGCAAAAGTTCTCATGAGTGCAGAAGTGGTACCGCGAAAGAAACAAAACTACATGTTGTTTTGTTGTTTGCTTTACTGTTGCTTTTGCTTTGCTGTTTTTGCTTTAATAATTTGATAAGTTATTTTGGCTCCTTGTGTCTATGGCTGGCGCGCCGAACGTAAATCTACAGATTCATCCACTCTTGGCCTCAGCCACGGATCAATGATTGGCATGGTTGGTGAGTGCCTTCCATTTCAGCATCCACCCATGCGACCCGCCTCCTCCTTCTGCGTGCCGCTAGTGGTCTGGCGCGGCCGGCGGGAAACACTTCTATTCTTCACCAGGTTCAGGAGACTCAGTCCGTTGGAGAATTACACCAATACTTAAAACCTAGGTAGCGCTTCCTGTCCGGGCGCCCTGGAGTAGGAGACCTGTTTACGGTCGTCGAACGCCACCCCCATGGCTTCAATTCGGTGAATTTCGGCGGTCAGGTCTTAGATGCCTGCCACGAAATCTGCACTTCGAGGTTCACAAAGTGCTGTGCCTGCCACGAAATCTGCACTTCGAGGTTCACAAAGTGTTGTGCCTGCCACAAAATCTACACGTCGAGGTTCACAAAGTGCTGTGCCTGCCACGAAGTCTGCACTTCGAGGTTCACAAAATGTTGTGCCTGCCACAAAATCTGCACGTCGAGGTTCACAAAGTGTTGTGCCTGCCACAAAATCTGCATTGCGAGGCTCACACAGTGCTGTGCCTGCCACAAAATCTGCACTGCGAGGCTCACACAGTGCTGTGCCTGCCACGAAATCTGCACTTCGAGGTTCACAGAGTGCTGTTGCCGTAAGAACCCCTAGTGTGTCCACACTGATTTGAAGAAGAACTGGTGGCATGCTGTGACCCGGCTCTGCACATCTAAAGCCCACTGTAAGGACCATGTGAAGCGGTGCCGCTGGATCCCACCCCACGCCACCATCGCCAAAGACCCAAAGGAAACCCAGAAACAATTTCAAGTTCAATCGTTTCGGCGGTGGTCCATTTGCTTTCATTGTGTTGGAAGGATTCGAGACCATCTTTGCCACTAGCAGAGGATGTTTCTTGTGGGTTACAATCCCAAGCTGAATCGGTTGCGCCACGGGTGTCCGATGTGTGAAGCGCGGAATACTGTGTACAGGGCCTGCGACGCCGGCGTCGGAGCTTACCTGGCAGGTGGCTGGGGCCATTGAGGCACTCAGGCAAGCAGGTTCAGAAGGCCTTTCGCTTCAGAAGGCGGCAATGACATAGAAACTTGTAGATCCCTTACCTACTCAAGGGGCCTGTGGCCCAGATTAAGACACCAAAAAATGATAAAATTGCAAGTGTTTTTAAAAAATAACTACATGGACATCAGATCATGAGCGTCCTGTTTGAGCAATCAGCGCTCTGCAATTCCGCCCGCACCGAAGGTGCCGAGGCGTTGTGGATGTATCGCGTAAGCCGTAGTAAACCTTCTAGATCAATCCTTAGCGTTAGCAAGCGATAGATAGGAAATGCTGTGCTTTGCATAGATTATTGAAGGTTGATTTTAAAAAAAGCTATGGATTCGATGTGGATTCGGACCAAACATTCGCGGTCCTGCCCGACCAAGAGAGACAGACTGACAGACCGAGACAAACACACCGAGACAGACAGAGACAGACCGAAACAGACAGACCGAGACAGACCGACCGAAACAAACAGACGCACACACTCCATGCGGGCGGCTTCGAGCGCGAAGCGCTGTGAATATAAAACGATGCTTCATCAAAAATGTGAAAAGTGTGTTTTATAAAATGAGGCAACATGAGATAACCAAATCTAGTCACAAATCACAGGTTTATAATGTGAGGGTGTGAAAGGAAAAAACGCTTTTTACTAATAGACTCTGCTTCACGTCGGACTTTTCTCTGATTTCTGGATTTACAAATTGACCCTGACAAACCTTGGCCAACTCTGCCCGGAACATACCGTGACAAGTCCATTTTATAAATTCATATCACCTGTGGATTTTGTAAAATGACCACTTCCTGTCTGGGCCTATGATTGTCCCTAACTTGCCCCAGTACCCATTTATAAGATCGTGACCCGTTTGGTCATTCTATATCTTCAAAGGATGTCATTTCATAAGGGCACGAAGTAAGGGGGATACTGGTAGATACTGGTAGAACCTCCATTTAAAATCAACGAACAAACAATGTTTAGCAAAAAGCAAAGAATTCATCACCGCGCACTGTCGCTGTCGCTGTCGCTGTCGCTGTCTATAGTACACTACTACACACAAAAAAATAACAACAACACATTTCAGGGAGCTTCGTGCATCAAATGGTCCCCTCCGAGCTAGCTCCGCTGGTCTTGGGATGTCTTGGGTGAAGAGATGCCCCCGTCGGAGCCCTTTGGGTCGTTGAGAAAAGGCCTGGTAGGGCGGTTGTCCATTCTCTTCCTGCAAGGGGAAAGGGCCGTTGGGTGGAGCCGGACGCGTTGCGCATGTCTGTGTGTGAAGTCAAGCAGGTTCATTCCAGGCAACAGCTCTTCGATGCATCTCTGGCAGTGTTGGAGATTTTACCCGCAAGCACAAGTCTTGGAAAAATAGAATCGTGAAAGCCAACCCTACATCCCTCGCACCAGCCCTACATAGCCCCAGCAGGTGGAAGATCAAATGTCGTCGGCCATCAGGCCTGCCATCTCATCCTACCAAGCACCTTGCCTGATGCAGTCGGGCATCGTTCACCCTCACAGCGGAACCCGCTCGCCCCCGTGCCCTTGGCAGCGGCGCGAAGCTCACCATTTCCTGAGCTCGCACGCACATCATCTGTACAAAGTAATGTTTCTTCCCCATCAGTGTGGCGATCCCCTGGCGGCGATGCGGTGACGTCTGAACTGAACTGCTCAACACTGGATGGTGAAACACATGGTGCTTTGGGCTGCAGTGACTGACCTTTGTGGATGGCATGAGTGGTGTCTTTCAACTCCCCAATTCCGAATACACATCCGAATGATTTCCGTTCTCTTCCGATGACCTCACTCAATCAAGAAATGCCTCACGAAGAGTCTTGGCAGTTCGTAACCTTCCATCACAACAAAGCTGCATCCCAGGAGCTGTTTGGCATTCTCTTTCGTTTTCTCACCCAGACGGTCCCTCCTCCCCTGCAGGATCCACCGGAACAGGACCGGCGATGCAACGGCGCCGCTTCACTCGGCGCCACCTTTTTGGGGCACGGCGAGCGGTCACGGAGCTCCGCGCGGTCACTCGTGACCGCGGGCGGTCACGGGTTGGTAGAGAGCCCGGGGGATGGGCTCGGTGATCTCGTCCTTGTCTTGAACCCAGTCATGTTGATAACCTGAGACGCAAAGCATGGGAACGAACGGGGAACGGGGCTGAGGGACTGACTGAAAACTCCAGCTGGGCCACTGACCAAACGTTTCGCTCTTAAGACTTGGTTGGAAAAGTGTAGCTGCTAGCTATTCCAACGGGTGGGTCGGGTATTGCCAGCAATATCCAAACCACCCTGACGAGAGATTGGTGTGTGGACTCAACGGGGCAGTTTCTCCCGCGACACCGTTCACAGGCTGAAAAGCGGAGGATGGTGGCTCGTGGTTGGCAAAACAGTTTTTTAAGCAGTATAAAGCCTACTACTCTTGGATTTAAGGAACCTGGAACAAAGACCCAGAAGGGGATTCAACATGATATAACCATAGAGAAAATAAAGGATCACCTTAAGCAAAACTATAGGTTGGTTTCACTTCGCAGGCCACGCTGTGGTACTGTGCATGCTCATAGTAGGTGATGTCCACCCAACCCCCACCCAGCATCGTGTCAGAGTCTCGGTCGACCTCCCCGGTCCGACCCGAGCGGCTGAGGTAATCCGAGGCCTCCACGATGGCGTGGCTCGGCCGCAGCAGGATCCGCTCGGCGACCTCCACCGCGGTCGCGCCGCTCGTGTCCAGGAGCCGTTGCAGGAGATCGCCCAGCATCGTGTCCACCTGGGCCGTCCGACGGTCCGGTCGAACGGACGGTTTCGGGCGTTGGACAAAGGCCTGAAGACGTGGCGCCAGTGGCAGACATGACGATGTCAGGAGATACGCCAGGAGTCTGAAGAGCTCATGGTTTTGGGACGTCAGCGCCTGGTTGGGGGGTAGACGTCGCATCCAGGATGTCATATATGTCACTTGTGATTGGAAAGAATATCACCGCCTTGAAGGAGCGGCACGGTGGATAGAGGGTTCAAACTCAAGACCCACCATGGTAAGGTCACACCACAGAGTCGCCATGCTCACTGCCCAGGGTGTCAGACTCTACAGAGTGTCAGTGCGCACCAAACTAGATCTGGCTGCCCCCTCCTTTGCAAGAAATCCTGCAGTATCTGATGGACCGTACCATATCCATAACTCCTGTGCTTCTAAAGGACTCAGTAGTGCAAATCCACTTCAGTGCACCGCATCCGCTTTGGCGCGATCCCAAGTCCGGGTGGCGCCAGGTGATGAGTCATCCACTCCATCTACTCTTCTTCACTGACTGGTAAGAATGATTCATCAAACGCTGTCTTCCTTCATTGCACCAAACTATGTAGCAAGGTTCTCGATGTTTTCAGGAAAAATACCATCCCATCATTGCCCATCATCCACCCAAAATCCCACCAGCAGCTCCAACCAGACCCCCAGAGACCGATCCGCCAGCAGCTCCACCTCTGCCATTTGTTGTTGGTTCCCCCGTTCCTCTCCCCGCCCTTCCCTTCAGCCCCGACATCTTCTCCCAACCGCTGAACCCACCGCGAATCCTCCCCTGTCCGCTCCACCAGCAACCCTCTTGGCTGATGGGAGGAGTGGCCGGGCCACCGACAAGGTGACCTTCATCTCCTCCGCCTTGGCAATCGCGTGGCTCAGCACCGCCGGCTCCCAGCCCTCCTTCGTCACCGGCGCGTCGAAGTCGGCGTTCACGGTCTCCAGCCACAGCCGCAGCGAAGGCGCCTTCTTGCCGTTCTTGCCTGGGGTGGTGCACAGACGACCGGCAGGTAAGGTGGGATGCTGATGCTGACGGGTGGATGTCTCAGAACTGCAGAACTTTGGGCAAAGGAAAAGGAAGTTCTTCTGATTCAGAAACTGATCGCTTTTAGACACTTGGCAGTCCAAAGACTTGGAAGTCGCCAGTTACTCAGTGGACGGACAAACGCGAGTGGGCGACGGAGTTGGAAAGCTAGGTTTGGATGGAGGTGTCTTTCCGGTTTCATCATATTTCATGATGGAGGTACATCCGAGGGAATATCTTTGGGCAACATCGTTTCCAGAAGGGACCCTCCTTTTCCGGAGAACAGCGGCCGATATTCTCCAAGAGAACAGCACCTATGCCACCCATGCGTCCTCCCCATGGTCCTCTGCCGCCCAAGCGTCCCACCGACCAAAGAAATCGCCAGTGCGCCCGGCCCACCGGATGCGTCGGCCACGAGGGCTCGTGCACCAAGATGACCTGCACCGGCCACGAGGTCGGTTCCGGTCGGGTTCGAAGCACAACAAACAGCATGAGAAATCAGGACAATTATCCGTCTGAGAGTCTTTTTATTGGTCCCCAAATGAAGAGTGGGATTCGGATTCTTTTTCAAATCATTTCCATATAATTAAGTGGGGATCTACTGCTTTTCTATCCAAAAGGTGTCTAGAAATAGCCCCTTAGAGGTGATTCGGGGTGTCCAAGAACATCCAAGAACCGAGGTCCTGACACAGGACCATCCGTCCGGGGTGATCAATGACATACTCCATCCAACGTCTGGGGGGTGTCCTGCTGGATGGTCCTTGAACCCGATCGGATTGGTTAAGAGAGGAACATGTTTTGACTATACGAACTGGTTGCCAATGCAGCCTTGATCCTTTTCTCAAGGCAAGGATCGTTCGGTTTCGAGGTCCCTACTCCAGAAGCAGCAGAAAAAGGCCCCCCCCACAAACAATGTGGTCCAATTCTTCACCCAAACCCTTCTTGCTTCCACACGGCTCACCTTGTGCCGCGCATTGCACAGCAAGGGCAAAATGCACTGCGTCTCCTTGGCACGGTCGCCCCCTCGATCCCCTCCCCGCGTCCGGAACGCACGTGTAGGCAAACGTCGGTCGATCGATCTTCGGATGCGCCGGGGTGAGTCGGAGCATGCTCCGGTGTGGTCGGTCTTCCCAGAAGTTCCCGGACACCGGAGCTTCCGGAGTGCAAAGAGAATGAGAACTGAAGGATGAGAACTGAAGGATGTATGTGCGGTTTCGGTTTTGAAAGGCTTTTTTTTATCCAAGTGGACATGGTCTACCTGTGGGACGATGATGTTTTCAATCTACCCCGAATGGTTCCATGACCGCCACCCGGCGAGCCCCACATGACCACTGTTTTCCTTCAAAGTGGGCCACAAGGCCCGTTGTCCCACCCACAACGGTTGGTCAAAAACGAAGGACTGCATTAGCTTGTATGGCTTGGACAATGCAGCCACGGTTTTTGGATGACATGAACTTTCAACCCGGAGGAATCAAGAAGATGGCCAAGAAGAGATGCCAATTGGATAAACCGAGGGAAAGCAGCTGAAAAGTGCTGGTCGGATATGCGACCTGGACACTCGACCTCAACTGCGGAAGGTTCTAAAGAGAGCGGCAAGCAAAAAGCCTCCTCTCAGAGCTACTGATGATGGACGAAACCCTCTGAAACATTGTCTTGCTAGTGAGAAAAAAACATATCCCAAAGTTGCACCACCTCCTCAATGGGGTGCGGGGCGTTGCTACATGACCCTTGTGAGGCGTACTGCTGTCTGCTGGTGCAGGAACCCTTGTCCATCAAGCGCTGTCGCGCGATGGACTGAGCCACACCGCTCCCCGCAGTCACTCGTCACCTCCCTCTCACTCGTTCCGGTCGCTCCGTCTCGTCGGTTTGTGCCGTCTCAGGCGCGTAGTCGAAGCCGTGCGAGGGACCTCCGATCTTCGTGGCCCAGAAGAAGCCCAGCTCTCCGGGACCATCTTCGTGGGTCACCAGACCTGGCAGAGGACGTGAGAGTTCGGACCGAGGACTTGGCCGGCGATGTGCGAAGTGGGAGGCGTTGGGGGGGGCTGGGAGGCGGCTTTCTTCGCCTTTTGGGGGGGAGGTTCAAAGGAAAAAGGCCGGGGGGGTGGCTGAAGAAGAGGTGTGCCTGTTTGGGTGACTATGTCTGAAAGAAGAGGAAACGACGTATTTATCAGTAGACGTTCGACAGAAACATTCAGAAACGATGGGTGTTTGCAAGCTCAATAGATCTCAATAGACTCGGACTCACTCACTCGCCAGTGATCCACTCCTGTTGGAGTCACCCAGCAAATTCAATGAAAATACGCCACAGGCACCACTCTTTGAGTGACAAAAGAACTGCCAACCTGCTCTGCCTCCTATTCTCCGTTCTTCTCCTTTCCTGCTTCTATGCACCGTCCGTACCGTCTCACAACTCCATCTGCCTCTCCGGTGCTCCATGGCCGTCGGCTGTCGCCAGTGCTCGATCTGCTGCGGCGTCAAGCCCCTCAGCTGCTCCTCGCGGCTCGGGTCAGCCGCTCGATATCGCCATCGGGGGGGGGCGCGTGATGGGAGAGAACAACCACCGGAGTGCGCAGGGTACATCAACTGCAGGAGTGCGCAGGGTGGACATGTTTTTGCAAACCGGGACGCGTGGAATCTGGTGGAGATTGCCTGAACATGGAGCCTGTCAGACTCGGGAAACCGATCATCTTTTGGACCACTTGGTCCGTGCTGGACGTGATGTGGCACTCCTTTTTCGGGACACAACGATGTTGCACCCAACTGCAAGTGATATCATTGCTTCTATGATCTTCTATGGTAGATAGGTGTTGGGCAGTCCCACTTCAAAGACTTGCCCCATGGGCCGAACCACCCCTGGCCACTACTCCGCCCTCCGCTGTCCCATCTGTCCTGGCCGCAGGGAGAGTTGTAGCGCCAGTCGGGGAAGCCGCCCTCTTTGCCAAGGACCGCTTTGATCAACTCCTCAGTGACCTTGCGCAGCTCCTGCGTCGCAGAACACGGGCCCGTTGAAGGGTGGACGAGGTTCTTGCAGGAGCTGTGGAGCTGCAAGCATGCGGAGAGATGGTGCCGGGTTGATTCTTTTTGGGGACAAGGTGCTCCAAAAACCAAAAATCTACAGAGATGTTGATGTTCGATTCAACACCAGCGGTTTTGATCCGCGTTCCCCAGCCCCGCCCGCTACCGTCGTCAACGTGTCGTCTTCCGCCCCCGCCCCTGCCCCCCCAAATGCGGTCCTTGCTGGGCAACGGCGCCCCGTTCATGGTCCGTGTCAACTCGCACTCCTGTGGACCGTCCGTGCACGGCGGAGGGCGCGACGGCCGCGCTATGCGCGACGGTGATGCGACGGGAAAGGGGGTTGCCGTTTCTTGTGTTCAAAAATAGAAGTGAATGAGCTGAAAACAAACACAACCAAAAAACATGGACATGCTCGGTTTTCAAGACGAAGACTTTCTTTCTTGTAATGGCGATGTGTGTCTTTTCTTTTGATCTGCGTGTCTTTTTCTTCTAAATGTTGCCGTTTCATGCAAGTCTCCAGTTCTCCGGCGCCCCGCTTTCAATGGCGATGTGCATTTTTGTTTTTTTAGTTAAGAGTAATGAGCCATCAATATGAAGCAACATGTGTTCCATGGAATATTCTACATTAGAGTACTCTCTGCAACATTGAAGGATGCATGTGAGTCCGTTGTGCCGAAATCAACCCAAACCATCAAGATTGCTTTCCCACAGCGTACTTCTCAGCGACTCTTCTTCGAGGTGCTCTAAACCGGTGAAGGTTCCAAAAAGGCTTCGTTTTTTTTGCGGGGGACCGTCTGATCTGATTTTGATCTGATTCTCCTTTCTGATCTGATCTGATGTGGAAGACCCTCACCCTCCTGACCTTTCTGATGTTTTCAGGACCAACCTATCACTCGCCCCAAAGCTATCACTGGAGTCCTCACACAATCCAACTTTCGGACGCAAGTCCCGGTGGAGAACGCTCTAGCCAGCCATTGAAGAAGTTCGATCGGAACCTGCCCACCCCAGCAACTCCAAAGCCTGTCTTTGCTGGGGCATTCTTTTTGCGGTGGAAATCACTTAGAGCAAATGCTTCCAAGAACTTTCAATCAATCCAAAAACTCCAGTGATTCTGAACCTCAATCTCCCAAAAAACTCCCGCATCTATTGTATAATAGTATCCTGCCACTGCCGAGCGTCGTTCAGCGCGCGCAGCGGCAGCAGCAGCTCTCCGCGCAGCGCGGCCACGACGCCCTCGAAGCTGGCCACGGCAGCCAGCGGGCTGCGCGCGGCGCCGATCTCTGCGACAAAGGTCTGCCTGGGCGAAGTGAACTGTGGCAAGAATGGATGGAAATGGAGCAAACATGGAGGACTTCGTGCTGGGAAGTGAGGGTTTGCAAAAGGGGATACACCTTCGAACAAAGTTCGATGGGCTTGTTTCCTAGATGGTTGTGGCTCAAGAATAGGGCTCTCCTGGGAATTGAGAACATGGCTATTTAAGCCACATTTGACGTAGATTCGACGGACTGGGCCGTACAGTACGTAGCTCAAAAAAGAACCACACTCAAGACTTCCACACCTGGCTCGGTCTTGTCAGTGCAAGAAAATTCCATCGCCAGAGGGCCAGGACCTTCAGAGTGAGAAACAATGACAGGAGAGACTGACCGATGGAATTCAGTGCAGTGACTCAGTGCTCAAATGACATTCAGGGCTCTTCTGGCCAGAGAGACCATCGGTCGCGAGTGACCATCGGTCGGTCACAGGTAGCAGAGAGAGAGAGAGAGAGACTCCAATCCGAAAGAGGTCACGTTGAAGGTGAAGGATGCCCGTGTTCTTCTCGGTGTGGTTTGCACATTCTGGAACCGTCCCTGGTTCTGAAGCCGTGCTGTGAAACAGCCCCCCTGGTGGTTGGTTTCGCTGCAACGTGGCGAAAAAACCATGGCATCTCTGTGTTCTGCTGTGTGAAGCCACTTCCTGAAAAGCCACACCACTGGTCTGTGCTGGGTCAAAGCACCCGGTGCTTCTTGGGACCAGTTCCGGGAACCGGACATCGGCCGAGGAAGAGAGGAACCGAACACGGCGCGCGGGGGGACGGTCTCATGGACTGAGTCGCGGGACGGTTTTCGGAGTCAGAGATGGATGGATTGGATCTCCAGGAGTGAATGATGTTGATGTTCTTTTCTCAAAAGACTGCGGTGATGTTGAACATCTCAGGACTGAACGTGCTCCCGGACAATCGAACCTGAACATGGGACCTATATTGAGTTACATACATGTTTATATAAGAGCCAACGATTTAAGACGCACCCATTAAGATTAAACACTCTTAGAACATGTCCCGTAAACCTCCGCAAGCCAGTCAAAACAAAGACCAAGAACGTACACAAGCTGAAACATCCAACTTAAACCCTCCCTCAGCATCTTAGGTCGCGGGTGGTTTTCACCTTCTTTCACCTAATTAGAACATCCTTGGAATAGGAACACCTCGCTCCACTTCGATTGGGGTTCCCTCCCGTCCCCGTCCTCCCCGTCGTCCCGTCGCGCCAAAGGGCACTAGACCCGTCCGTAGATCATCTGCCTGGTGGCATTCGCATGAGGTCGAAGAGGGAAGAACCAGCAGAGGTTGAAGGACCCTACTTCGACTATCCCAATTCGGTACCCCAGTAGGGTCCTATAAGGTCACTTAACCTCTCTGGGAAGGTGAGAGCAATCACCCCTACCATTTAGAATGGCACCGTCCTCAGTATAAAACCAGTGGAAGAACGAGGATATCTGGATCAAAAATCTTGACCTCCCACCAAAGTTTGCCTTCGTGAAAATTCACCGTCCATGTAGAATTGCAAGTCTGATTGACCTTGAAGGTGACAGACACTGGATGCTCCCACTATTCATTCCCCCGACCTCGACGGCTGTTAGACACACCTCACGGCGAAAACACCTATCCAACACTTGACACTGCCGCTGTAGTGACCGTAGAGTAGGAAGAAAAAGAACGACACGACAAGAAGGGCAGCAGGGAGTGAGACAAGAATCACTTGTATGTGTGGTTCTGTTAGATCTATGTCTATATCAATATTGGATCATATTATTGAGTTCTATGTTCATTGACCTTCCACCTCTTCCGTCTTCAACTTCCCCGGGCGCAAACCCACCATCAAACTCCACCAGCCACCTGGATGTCTTTTTAAAGTAGGGAGACCTCTCAAAGACCCTCTGGAAGAAGGAACAAAGGCCCGTCTACCCATTGGTTGGGTATCTTCCTATTAAAAAATCATACCCACCTGATCCCTGATCCCAATAACCCCACCTGTAACAACTCAAATCTTCACCTGACCCCACCTCTAACAGTCTCCACCAGCTCCACCTTCTCCACCAGCTCTACAATCTGACTGGTGCTTAATTCGCAAGGAATGAGGAAATGGCCATGAATGGACCCTATAAGGAATCTCTTTAAGGGAGGTCGTTCCCCGCATTCCCTACACAATAAAGCACCAGTCTCCACCATCTCCACCAGTCCTCCCTGGCCTCCAACAGCTTCCGCAGCCGCTGCCGCGACTCCGCCGCCCGCCGCCGCGACGCCTCGCAGGCGATGGAGCGGTGCCGGCCCGCGCGGTAGGCGCTGCGCGAGGCCGGGTGGTGCCAGCCGATGCCCAAGGATCTGGTGCCGTCGGCGCTTCGTCGCTTCCGACAAGAGCGCGAGCGGGTGGAGTTGCGCCGGAGTGCGATTCCAACATTGAGGTGTTTGATGTTTTGGCTAGCTCAAGGTAAGATAAACACCAAGGACTTGAAGGAGGTTCCTGTGAAAAGATTTGATGGTTCGAGAATGTTTTGGATGTCTTTAGGTTGTTCTCTGTACTATGAACGTGCTGTTCGCAAAGCCATCCAGCCATGCTGATCTCTTAAATGGTTCGTTCCCCTGCGTTCCACATGGATGGTTGAAATGCGCATTCTCAACCTACTTCTCAACCTCTAAGACATGGCAAACCATGCTATCTCGACCGTTTGCCTTGGGTCTGCCCATCTCAAAAACGTGCTGACGGGTGGTCGCCCGTCTTCAACGGGGATGATGCTCAGGTCGAAGAGAAGAAACTGTAGTTCTGTTAGTTCTGTGAAGTCCAAATCAAGATGACATGGGGGTGTATTGAAATAGGGACTCTCAAATACCGGCTTTGAAGAGAAAATATTATATGGAACAAACATGAATCATCGATGTCACGTTTGCGACTTCACCAACCCTGTCGCGCACCACGACTATCGCCTCACGATGGTGAATGCATTGTTCATCATTTTCCAGCGACGGCTGACGTGCAGCGATGGCAGCATTCTTGGAGACTAATCACCAGCCATATTTGGAAACCAGCTGTATTCGCAATGTTCAAGCGCAGCTAACGTCCTAATCTGTACCCAGACAGCCTGCGCATGCCGGTACTACAAAATCACTGCAACAACATGGCTATATTCCAACTTCAGCTGTGTCGTCTGCGCTTTGCGACGCGGCACGTCTCAAAAGCATGCGACCCAAAACGCTCAACTGAGCCTGGGATAGTCAATCCCGCCAAAGAGGTGCAATTAGCAAAGGCACTGTTCCCAATGAGCGTCAGTGAATTAGGGATGGTCACGTTCACCAAAGAGGTGCAATCCCGAAAGGCATCACCCTCAATGTGGGTCACCGAGTCTGGGATGGTCAAATTTACCAAACAGGTACAATTCTGAAAGGCACCATTCCCAATGTGGGTCACTGAGTTTGAAATGGTCAAGTTCAACAAAGAGCTGCACCCACGAAAGGCATCACCCTCAATGCGGATCACCGAATCTGGGATGGCCAAATTTACCAAAGAGCTGCAATTCTGAAAGGCATGATTTGCAATGTAGGTTATTGAGTCTGGGATGGTCAAGTTCACCAAAGAGCTGCACCCATTAAAGGCATCACCCTCAATGTCGGTCACCGAGTCTGGGATGGTCAAATTTACCAAAGAGGTGCAATTCTGAAAGGCACCATTCCCAATGCGGGTCACTGAGTCAGGGATGTTCAAGTTTGCCAAAGACCCGCAACCC